GCTGCCCAGCCCACACTTTCCAGTCTTGATAGAGTTCAAAAGCGTCTCCGATTCCTTGTTCGAGAATAATTATTTTCTACCTTCCAACCTCTGTCTCTCACAGGCGGAATGTGGCGAGTCTCTCACTGCTCTATCGCTACTTCCACAGAACGTGCTCGGGTGAACTATATTCCTTGGTTCCCCAGGTCAAATGTTCACAGCTAGGATCCTCCATGTCACTTACATACCAACAAACCACCCATATTTCCTCCATATTCCATCAGCGAGAAGTAAGGTCCATTCAAACAGCTTCTTACCGCAAACCATTGTCCTATGGAACAGACTCCCAAGAGGATATTTCCCCGATCACTACAACCTTAACCTGTTCAAGACTAGAGTTAACCGTTATCTTTACCTCTTATCCTTTAACGTAATCCTCTACCTCGAGTGGGTCACGGGCCTTTTAGAGGGGCACCTTAATTTAAAAAAAGTGCATAAATTTGCATTTTTCTGGGTTATATTTTATAAGGTATTTATTTTTAGTTTTCAATTTGTCATTCAGTTATGCATCATGCATGATACACGCTTAGGCGATCATGTATCTTTCGATACAAGACTGACGAGGCAGATTTTTCCCGCAGTAGGTTGCCATTACTTTCTCCGGCAGAGCAGTTTCCATCCAAGGCTATTGAACCCGATCTGTGCTGCTATTTACCCGTAGCTGTGAAGCAGATCATTCATACCTTCAATTTGTAAGTAACGTATTAAAAATTTGTATTCGTATCTGCATTTTTGCTTCCCTATCTGCATATGTGATCTATAAATGACTATATATCAAGACAATGTTATGCAATTAAATGACAAAATGGAAAGATGCTGTGTAACGCGTTTCGTCATCTAGAAGGACTTCATCAGACCAAAAGTAATATGCCTTCATCGCTAAGATCTTAATCTCTGCAAGCTACAGTCAACTAATATATATCCTACATATCCTCATAATCTGCATTTGCACCCTCCTCTTATGATCCCACAACAACCTCGCTCAGTAAATCTCTACCTTGAATGGCTCTTGGACCGGTGGATTAATGGATAGCAGCTCGGATTGAGGAATCGGAGAGCCAAGTTCGAATTTCAATTGAATCCATTTCATTCACTTACATGCTAATACCCTTGGGAAAGGTATGAATCTTCTTCTCCCGCCCCAACTACGGGTAAATAGCAGGACAGGCGGGGTTTCTATAGCCTTGGATGGCAACTGGTTTACCGCAGAAAAAAAATGGCTACCTACTGCAAGAAAAATCTGTCAGTTATGTATCGAAAGATATATGATCGCCTAAGCGTGTATCACACATGGCACATAACTGATTGACTATGGGTAAATAGCAGGACAGATCGGGTTCTATAGCCTTGGATTGCAACTGGTTTACCGCAGAAAGAAATGACAAACTACTGCGGGAAAAATCTGCGTCAGTCATGTATCAAAAGATACATGATCGCCTAAGCGTGTATCACGCATGGCACATTACTGACTGACTATGGGTAAATAGCAGAACAGACCGGGTTCTATAGCCTTGATTGCAACTGGTCTACCGCAGAAAGAAATGGCAACCTACTACGGGAAAAAAATCTGCCTCGTCAGCCATGTATCGAAAGATACATGATCGCCTAATCACACATGGAAAATAACTGATTGAGTGTGCGAACAATAGTATAAAGAAAATGCATGAGAGACGTTGAGTGGATCTGCATGTTGCACTAAAGTCTTTATTTAATTTTATTAATGTCTTTTTTTTTGCTAAGGCGAGGTGGTGGTTGTGGGGGCCCAAACGTTAAACTGGTGGGAAAATGGCCGCCCTTTTTTCAGTATTGAATGCTGGTCTTAGCCATGTTGAATGAATGCATGGCGTACAACACGTTCCGAAATATCCAAGCTATCATCTGCATACAACCATTTTCTCAGATGAGTCATTACAAATAGCTTCCAGCGAATGGATGCTTTAGGTTTTAAAGAAGAAAATCCTTCATCAGAGTTTATAGACAAACTGGTGCCACAAAATCACAAACGAACAGCTATACCAAATAACAAAAACTACACCTCTTGAACTCTTCCAACAGCAACAGCCAAACAAAAAAAAAAAAAAAAAAAAAAAAGAAAAAAAGAAAGAAAGAAAATGTAGCGAGAAGAGAAAATAACTTTATCATGAAGCGGTTAACTTTTCACCCTACGAAAAACGAAAAATTTGGAATGGAACTCTCGTCATTATTAGAAAGTTCTATAACATTTATTGAACTTGAGAAGCCTAAGAATTTATAAATTTCAACCGATAATATCGCTAACTGTAAAATGGATGTCTAACGTTTCCTGTATGGAAACGGCTAATTTCACTGTTCCAGTTACTGTTTCTCTTCCAAACTTTCACCAGAATATTCTTTGTATCACGTCACGAGTTAGGCCGATGTTTAGGCTTCTCATCCGTATCCAGTATCTTTTCGCCTATCTTAACTTTTATTCAAAAGATTAAACTGGATGATTGTAATTAGCAACTAACTCACTTAACAGATTTAAAACACTTTCTTCAACATGTCTGTATTTTATTTATTATCCCATTATCTGTCTATATTTCTGAGATATTGCAACTATTTACACTATTTACATTGTTGGGACTGTTATCCTCATCTTTATTGCCATATTCACGACGTTTCGGTCATTGTACGCTCCGGCACTCTTCAGGTGATATACGTTGGAAATTCGAATCGAACCCTTTATTTCGTCCACCGGAGTAAATTGTTCTAGGTCCACGAGCCATGCCTAGTTCACCTTTGATGTGACCAAAGAGTAATATGTTCAATATCTGATCTGATCTACATTTGACCCCAAACTTAAAATTTTATTCAGTATTACTGTCTCTCTTGTCCCCAACATTACATATCAACTAGATAATAAAATAATACTTGGTTTTCTGTTTCTACATCTTGCTGTTTCGCATTTTACGAGTATTTTTGCATAACTAAAAGTAAGAGCGGCTTATAATTATTTACTCAGAGCTATATCTCCCCTATAGAATGTTAATGACTATTTTAAATATTATAGAAGGCGTCTTTGCAGCTTAAGAAGACTATAGAAAGAAATGTATCAGTGAAAATATTTATACAAGAAAAGAAATAACGATGAAACTGTCTGCAAAATTCATTGAAAACTCTATTTACATTTCTGAGATGAGGTACTATTTACACTATTTACCTTGTTCATTGGAGAAAAATGGTTAGCTGAAGTACTCCAATGAATTGACGCAAAGAGTTGTGAGTTCAAAACTTGACCACAGCAGAGGTGAACAAAAAAATGGAGAGCTGAGTTACTAAAAAAGGAGATAACTGACACTGAGATATCCAGAAAAGGCATGACACAAAAATAAAGTGTATAAAATAAACGGTTCAGTTCGAAATTGCAACGAATATCGACTACAGAAGGTCGGAGTGTATAACGATATGACCATAAAGAAGACAACAGTCCGAACAATGTAAATAGTGCAAAAAAAAAATCCTGTTATCTGTTTATCATTCTAGAATCAATTACTATCTTTATCCATGAGTGAGTAGTGCTGTCCGGGTGATTTATTAAACATGTTCTGTTATTCAGGCTTATAAGTTCTGTACTTAAATATTAAAAGCAAGGCGACACACAACAACCCCATATCGAATTGACCGAAGTTTTCTTTTAGATCAATATTGTACGTAATAGCTATGTTCACTCAGCCAGATTGGTTTCAATTCGTACACACTGACAATTCCTGTTTTTTTTTTCTATTTTGAATATAATTTTAAAAGAAAAAAAAACAATGCCTTTTTATTAATAAAATAATTTTCAATGCATTCTATAATAAATCATTATTAATGCATTTACGTTATTCATAAACGCTATTTTGTCAGTAGCGCATTCATAATTTCTTCACTCTTTGTTTCCTGATTTTCAATTAATTTCCATCGGAAAATCTTTAGCAAGGCAATTGAAACATATAATAGACCTATTCTGTCAGCAATTGTCAGTATGATTTCCCGGACACTGACGGTCTTTTTTTTTTTAATGATTTTCAATGCATTTCTATAGTAAAGACATTAGAAATGCGTTTTGATTAAATATGTACAATAGCTATATTTGGTCGGCGGTGTTTGTATTAAATCCTGACTACCGAGAATCCCTTCCTCCTGCTTTTCAAAGAATTTCTAGAATAAATCATCAGTTTTATTATGGACTGATTTATTTTTACGGCTTTTACAGTCTTATTTATTGATTGATTTATTTTTACGGCTTATCAACCCTTTGCAGGTTATTTAAAGACAGAAAATATTTTTACACTGTAAGAACTTTTTGGAGATAATAATGATTTTTCTGACACTAATTAACCCATAGCTTGGTGATTCATACATTTCCCAAGGGTATTTGTGCATAGGTGAATATAACGAACCCGACTGGAATTCGAACGGCTCTCCGATTTCTCATTCCGAGACGTTATCAATTATACCACCCCCTCAGATCAGTTAAATAATAGTTTATCAGACTGTTATTTTTAGAGGAAGTGTATCTCTGCTTGGACCTCCGAGGTCAAATGAAAGACAAAACAAGGAAGTCGATTTTGATTGGCTGAGCCAGCGTGGGAATGACAGGTATAGAGGAAGGGTTTTCAGTGAGTTGGTTCCTACACGTCAGGCATTCGTGTCTGAAACAGCTCTCCAGTGGAGGTGGGGGCGACCACCCTGGATAGTTAGAAGATGTATAAATCGACATTACTAAAATAGCTGAGTTAAAATTCCCTGTGTTGAAGTTCTTTTTATCTCAGGACTCAAAACAGCTAGCAATCACCGTCCGTGAGAGAAGATGCAACTTTATTAACAAACTGACGCCACAACATCAGTGGGGTGTGTGTGTGGGGGGAGTTGGGGGGGGGCTATGCAACATAGGCTCAATTCGGCGCCGATGACCAAGAACTCCCCAGCACAAAGGGGACTATACAACAAGATCCAAGCTTACAACACCTGTTATTCCCAAGTGATCAGTCATCTAGGTATTGACCAGGCTCAACGTTGATCAACCTCGGTGATCGTACGGGAACCGATGCTACCACGTGATATGGCCTTAAGCCTAAAAAATGTCAGAAATGCTTTTGTATTAAATATATAGCTCTATTGTGTCGGTTGGTTTTGCACTAATTCTTGACCACTGAAAATCTATTCCTCTTGATTCTCAATAAATGCATTTCTACAGTAAAGATATTAGAAATGAATTTAAATTAAGTATATTATAGTTCTCTTCTGTCAGCTGTGTTAGCGTTCAACACCCAAGATCAAATATAAAACCTTAGAAAATGACAGTAACTCAAAGTGTAACACCTTTAGGGGAGGATTAGTGACTCTGTCAATAAAGAAATGGATATTTGATTAAATTCTTGAACTAAAAGAAAAGACAACAGCCAAAGCCAACGAATGGCAGTTAATATAAGTTGTTAAACAAACATTAGAAATAGATGCAAAGAAGCAAAAGATGAGCGACTCAACGTGAAGTGTGCAGAGATAGAAACACTGCAGAATATACACATAGCAGGCGGCGTGCAGAAAAAGATAAAATAAATAACACATCCAAAAACATGGTTCTCGAAAGGATACTTGAATTCGAAAAAGGGAACTCTTACATGATATAAAGAAAAGATATAATAAATATGGAACGAATAATACACCGTAGAGCTCTACCATAAAAGAGGCGAGCAAATGGCAACATGCAAAAATATGGAAGTATTAAAATGTGACATAAGACCGGCACTGACCAAGATGCACAGGAACAAATAAGTAAGACCAGACTAGATTATAATATAGCTTCTATCTGTATTACACGGTTTGGGGATCAATAAGATCACTGAAATAATAAATGAAATATATGACAGCGGTGAAATACCGGAACCTTGGTGCAAGTAACTATGAACTCTATCGGACATAGCTAAACATCGTTGTTATAATCAAAAATAGAGCTCGTAACAGAGATAGGTTACTCGTTTTTCTCCTTGCTTCTCCAGGCTTGAATATGTCCTCTGAGTATTATATTTTCCAGGTCTTCTTTCCTCATTATGAGGCTCTTTCTGTATCAGCTTCCAATTTCTTTCAAAACGCCCTCATTGTTTATATGTTCTGACCCTAGTGTTCTTAGTATTCATTGGGAGAACCACATCACCATCACTTCGAGCCTATGTCAATTAAACGCAATCGACGTTTCAGTTACCGTTCTTCGAACACTAACTAGTAAAGTTGCCTTTCCCCGGACACGATTGATTGATTTGTACACCATTTACATTGTTCGGACAATCGTCCTCATCTTTGTTGCCATATTTATCAGAACGTTTCGGCCGTTGTACGCTCCGGCCTTCTTCAGGTGGTTGGAATGTCGAACTGAACCCTTTATTTCGCTCACTGAGGTAGATTGTTCTAGTTCCACGTGCCATGTCTAATGGATGTTAGTTATCTCTTGTTAATTCCCCTCTCCAAGCTCTCCACTACCATAACCAAGTATTGAACTCACACACCTTGGGTCCTGTCATTAGATCTAACTAACGCTTTTATCTACCGGGCCATGTGTCCTTGAGTGTACAACGGCCGAAACGTTGTAATAAATATGGCGACAAAGATGAGGACAATAGTCCGAATAATATAAATAGTGTACATAATACCTCATCTCAGAAATATAGACAGATACTGAAAGGCCGAAACGTTGTAATAAATATGGCGACAAAGATGAGGACAATAGTCTGAATAATGTAAATAGTGTACATAATACCTCATCTCAGAAATATAGACAGATACTGAAAGGCCGAAACGTTGTAATAAATATGGCGACAAAGATGAGGACAATAGTCCGAATAATATAAATAGTGTACATAATACCTCATCTCAGAAATATAGACAGATACTGAAAGGCCGAAACGTTGTAATAAATATGGCGACAAAGATGAGGACAATAGTCCGAATAATATAAATAGTGTACATAATACCTCATCTCAGAAATATAGACAGATACTGAAAGGCCGAAACGTTGTAATAAATATGGCGACAAAGATGAGGACAATAGTCTGAATAATATAAATAGTGTACATAATACCTCATCTCAGAAATATAGACAGATACTGAAAGGCCGAAACGTTGTAATAAATATGGCGACAAAGATGAGGACAATAGTCCGAATAATGTAAATAGTATACGTAATACCTCATCTCAGAAATAGTGACAGATACTGAAAGGCCGAAACGTTGTGATAAATATGGCGACAAAGATGAGGACAATAGTCCGAATAATGTAAATAGTGTACATAATACCTCATCCCAGAAATATAGACAGATACTGAAAGGCCGAAACGTTGTAATAAATATGGCGACAAAGATGAGGACAATAGTCCGAATAATGTAAATAGTATACGTAATACCTCATCTCAGAAATAGTGACAGATACTGAAAGGCCGAAACGTTGTGATAAATATGGCGACAAAGATGAGGACAATAGTCCGAATAATGTAAATAGTATACGTAATACCTCATCTCAGAAATAGTGACAGATACTGATTGATTTGTTTGTTTAACAGCATATAAACTCCTTATGGGTTCTATAATGCCGAAATTTAATTTTCTTGGGAACTTTAAAGTAATAAAAATGTGATATATGTTATTCTGCTTTCACAGTTGAATACATGGTAGATGATACTCAGCTTTTGTGCATGTACATGTTTATGTGAACATAATTAGTGGAAGCGATGATTTATGCATATTTTATGTTGTATTTCACATCAGGAAGAGGCAGCTGAAGTTTCTGGGACACATAATGAGAAAGGAGAGCTTGGAGAATCTGATACTCACGGGTCGAATAGAGGGAAAGAGAGACAAGGGAAAACAACGCGTGACATACCTGGCGGGCTTAAGCAAGTGGATGACAGAACGTGGTCTGGGGGAGGAAGCAGAGGGAAGGAAATTGTTGAGAGCAGCAAGGGATAGAGGGAGGATAGAGGGAGAGCCATGATCGCCTACGTCCTCAAACGACATGGCACATAAAAAGTTTTGTTGAAGTTATAGTTTTTAATACACTCTGGTTTCTTTAAAAAGTGAAGGATACTATGTAGATTAATGTCATGAAAGAGTTCTTTCATGTTGGTTGATTTTGTTTAGCAACATATCAACACCTCTATGGGTTATCTAATGCCGAAATCTTCTTATTTTGAACAGTTCTATGGCTTCAACCAAATATAAATATATTTGTAGTTAAACGAAATTGCATGCCTTCAACTACAAATAAAATGTATTGTTTGTCATTTTACTATCAATAGGTGTTGTTGGTAATTTAAGTTACTAGTAGTAATCAAGCAAAATATTAACAACAAAAATAAGATGAAAGAAATACCAATAAAAGATTATGACAATAAAATTTACAATGTATCATTTAGGATAACTCACGACTACTACGTCTACTACTATTAATTGTAAACAAGCATAAAAATAACAGCAAAAATAAGATGAATGAAATACCAATAAAAGATTATGACAATAATAATGACAATGTATCCTTTAGGATAACTCACGACTACTACGTCTACTACTATTAATCGTAAGTAAGCATAAAAATAAGACGAAATAAAAACTATATGTAAGAAATACTTACGTATTTGGTGGCATATAAAACCCTATTTTTCCGCAAATAGAATTTGATAATTTTGTAGTTAATGCCCGGAAATAAATTTGTTTTCAACTGGTCCAAAATTATAAACATAGAATAAGTTACAGTAGAATGTAACATTCAGAAACTTTGTTAATATTACCCGTTTATATATATATATATTATTGTGTAACATAACTACAACATGGACTCTTCTAGGACTATATAAAGTATGCGACATAAGAAGAGAGAGAGAGAGAGAGAGAATGAATATATATATTCTAATACCGTAGTATCAGCCGCGTACGACTACCAATATTGGACACTAGCACATAGTAAGCTCCGCTTACACTATCTTTGTAACCTTTTTGTTTAATATATCTTTCTGACCTCTAATCCGTGTTCCGTGTTTTCCTTCCGTGGTCCCACCTTTGGGTCCACATCAGTGGCGACGGAGGATTCGAGAAACTCACTCACGCCGAAACCTCAGTACCTTACCAGTCCCACATCTGTGTCGACGAAGAATTCGAGAAACGCATTCACGTCATTGACTCTCCAAAAACTGGCAGAGGACTGTCAAAGAGTAATAGCTGTAAAGTGTGACTCAAACATTATCGAGGAATCAGGTGTGGCTCAGATTAATAAAATCAGAAGCAAGTCTACCGCCTATTCCCCTCAAAAAGACAAAAGGCAAATCTCATGTCCTAAATTCCGCAGTAACCCCCCCAAAAAATATTGAAAAAATTGCAATAAAAGTGGGCATACTTTGACTTCGTGCTGGTACGCCAACAGAACGAGAAAACCCAAAAATAAAATTAGGCAAGCTGAATCTGACGATATTGTCGATAGGAATTTAAGGAAATATGTAACTGTGGATATTTTCAATAATTCCATTAAATTCCAGCTTGACTCGGGTTCCGATCTTTCAACCATTAACTGGCGTACTTGGCGAAAATTAAACAAGCCGACCTTATTAAAAAACGGATAAAACAGCAAAATCCGTAACTGGCGAAAAGATTAACATTTTAGGCGAGGTAATACTTACAGTAACACTAAATGGAGTTACCAAAAATCTCAAAGCCTACGTATTGAAAACTTCAGATAACTTATTTGGAACAGATTGGATAGAAAAATTCAATCTTTAGGATTGCCCAACGAGTACATTTTGTCGCAAGATACAAAATACAACGTCCAATTTGGTAAATCTAAAAAAGGAACTCAAACAACAATTTCCCCAGATTTTTTCTGGCGGCCTTGGGAAATGTACTAAAATGAAAGCTAAGTACAAGGTGAAGGACGGTAAACAACCGGTATTCAAAAAGAAACGGAATGTCCCTTTTCGCTGCTCTAGCGCAAATCAACAAAGAGTTAGATAGACTCGAACAAGCAGGTATTCTGTCAAAAACAGATTTCAGCGAGTGGGCAGCGCCTACGGTCTACGTAAAAAAGAAATCCA